GGTGGAAGACTCTGTGTTTTGGAATAAGAATATCCTATTTTGATTTTTGCGTAATTTGTTATTTTATCAATTTAAGAGAATGGAACAAAGACACTCTTCAAATAGGGTCAGCTAACATGATTTTAAAACACACCTTTTTATCCCCCAGAATTTAGATCTAGATCAATCTATTTCCCAGAACTATGCTGTTATCATCAGTGATGCTACCACTTGGTGGTGCCACAGTGCTGCTTTTAGATGATAATAATAATAAAAAAAAATTACAGAGATATTCTATCTCCTAGAACTGGAAGGGACCTTGAAAGGTTATTGAGTCCAGCCCCCTGCCTTCACTAGCAAGACCAAGTACTGATTTTGCCCCAGATCCCTAAGTGGCCCCCTCAAGGATTGAACTCATAACTCTAGGTTTAGCAGGCCAATGCTCAAACCACTGAGTTATCCCTCCCCCCTCTACTTAGCTCTGGTCCTTAAGTTCAATCAGTTATATTTTGGAATTTAGCCTTGACCTGAGTTCTTGCAATGTTTTCCTGCATATGCTAGTTTATTATAATAGTCCTAATACCTAGCTCTTATATAAAGTGGACTCCATTTATAAGAATCACTAATATAAGAATCAACCGCCTATAGTCATCAAAACCAGTGGGACAAAAATCATTCTTATACTAATAAAACATTCCGTTTGTAAGAATCAACCAGTTATAAGAATCAAATCATCCAGGACAGATGTGATTCTTATAAAAAGAGTACACTGTAGTTTGTGTTACATTGTTATTGCCTGAATGGTAACCTCAGATTAAAAGAAAATACTTTGCTCAAGTAATTACATTGTTTATTTTGAATTTAAAATATTTGTGTCACTTCTGCAAGTTAATAATGATTCACAAATTCCACCATTGTTGGCTGATCATTTTCACATATAGGGCCCAATTCTGCCACCTTTACTCTGATAGAGTAGCACCTTAATCAATGGAACTACTCACAGAGTAAGGTCCTACTCATCATGTTAAGGGTGACTGAACTGAGTCTATAATGAACACTACAGTATTCATATCAAAGCCTTTCATTAGATGTGCACAGTGTATCCTAAAGCACCCAGGGGCTATATACCGCCAAGCTTTCTCATTTTCAATTAAATCAATATTTACTCTTAAAAGCTTACCAAAACTATGTTAAATAGTTACTGGTAAAAAGCCCCATTTTTCTGCTTGTGATCACCATGAACTCTCTCGGCAATCTGTAAATTAAAGTAAATTACAGATAATGAAGCAGCACTTGGCTGCCAGTCTATAGAGTTGGTAACATGGAGCAAGATATTTGACAAAAAAAACTGCCAGAACTTTTATTGCCAATAAATATTTGCAAATGAAAGATTTTTTGTATTCACAATATAAGAGCAGAGACATCAGTATTCAATGTCATCTGAGCTGTAATTATACTATTAAAATAAATGAAAAAGTTTATATTTGTATTATGCCTTCTTTTCTCGACTACTGATGTATCCAATGCATTTTTAATAAAAACATGATGAGATGACTGCAGGTAGGATGTGATGACTTTAGTTATGAAAACCATTGATAAATAAAGATACAGATGGAAACAGTGGGACAAATTAATCTGTGGTGTAACCTCACTGACGTCAGAAGAATTTCATCAGAAAATAATCTGGCCCATAGACAGTGGAAAGCAATTGGCTTTGGAAGCATAGGAAAGCCAGGAGTTAGGATCTGAAGGTTAAAATTCTGTAGGAACTCAACACCTGAGGGCCAGATTTTTCAAGCATTCAGCACTCACAACTGGGGTCAGATTTTCAAAAACTCAATTTAGGCACAATAATAAGGGCCAGATTTTCAAAAGAGTTTAGCATCTGACATGATGACCTGGTTTGAAAATTTGGCTGATTGTGGGTGCTGAGTCCTGTTGAAAATCTGGCACTTAGTAATTAATTAGATGGCCCACTAACTGAAAACATATAGATAATGTTACTTTTAAACCAAAAAAGCATCATGCACAAATACATTAAGGTGTAAAGAAACCCACCCCAACACTTAAAACAGAGTTGCTGATCTAACCCTGAAAAATAATGATGGTCTAGAGTGTTTCTCACAAAATTCAAAAGATTTAGATGTATCCATTATTGCTTTCAAAAGTACAGTGTGAAATGATTAAGAACATAAGAATGGCCATACTGGGTCAGACCAAAGGTCCATCTAGCCTAGTATCCTGTCTTCTGACAGTGGTCAATGCCAGGTGCCCCGGAGGAAATTAGCAGAACAGGTAATCATCAAGTGATCCATCCCCTGTCGCCCATTCCTAGCTTAAGGCAAACAGAGGCTAGGGACACCATCTTTGAACCCTGTTATAATCTTGGCCTTCACAATATCCTCTGGCAAAGAGTTCCACAGGTTGACTGTGTGTTGTTTGAAGAAATACTTCCTTTTGTTTGTTTTAAAT